AAAAATGATGGTAGCACAGCTGTACATCTTTTACCAACATTGTTGTTTAAGCAGCAAATCAGAATATTCGAATGATTTCTGAAGGATTATGTGATTTTGTGACTGCTGAAAATTCAGCTTTACCATCACAGAAATAAATTACATTTTAAAATATATGTAAAACAGAAAAGTTATTTTAAATTGTAGTAATATTTCAGAACTGTATTTTTTATTGAATAAGTGCCGCCTTGGTGAGCGTTAGGGATTTCTCTCAAAAACATAAAAAAATCTTTCAGACCCCAAACTTTTGAATGGTAGTGTACTGTATGTAAAACTGTTTTCTCCTGCAGACATCTGAGCACCTTCACAGAATATGCCTACGAAACCTGGTCAATGACTATTGCAGGAGAATCCAGCCAGAGTGGAAGAAGCAGGTACAGCATTCATGCAAGAGCAAATCTGCACACAAACACACACATAAATGGATGAACATAACTCTCTTTTCTCACTGTCTGCAGTTGGAACAGAAGGTGGTAGCCAGTGCGATCTTTAGTGGTCAGAAGGACTGCTACCCTCGAAGTGTTCCCAAACTCTTTGTAGCCACCAGGCTAGGTAATATTTACACATATGAAAACACATCTATCCAAAAAACACACATACAAACACAAACAAAATACAGATAGTCCATGACGCATTTTTCTTACCACAGAGACTGAAGAAATCAATCTCAAAGTGCTGCAAACTCTTGGAAATGACAACAAGGTGAAGGTAAATGTGTTTGTATCCTTTTTTTTTTGGGGGGGGAATGCTGAATCTTTGAGTGTATTTCATATAAATGTATATGCAGTGACTATTAAAACATAGCGTAGTGCTTAGCGAAGTTCACCAACTGGGGAATTTTTGGATGCTTATTTGTTTGGTAATTGGGTTCCATGTAGTATAGGTTGAGTTGAAGTTTGTATATCCATTTCAAATGTTTCAATATTTAAAATAAACTGATTAAAAATACAATATAAACAGCAAAGCAGTTTTAAACTGTAATGAAAAGAGGCCAACTTAAAAAATATCAAATAAGATAAAGAAGACTTTGTGCTCCTATTGAACACGTGACTTTGTCCTGTTGTTTCCCCTGTAGAGGGAACACACAGACTCCAGAAAACAAACATTAGACAATGGCTAAATGGCCTTAATCGCATACTGAGCAGGTGCTTAATATCAACAAGTTCTTACTTGGCGAGTGCTAAAAAAGAACATACTACTGTAAATAGCCTGAATGTGTGTAGTATGAACGTGATCCGGACATTCATCTGCCATGTTGACTTTATCATCTGACCTACAACATAATAACAAGCGCAACAGCGACATGCGCACTAACACCTGATTGCATCAGTAACTCGACAACCCTACCTAGTACGGTTTTCCTCAGCGTTTGCAATGTCTGCACAAAGAAGGAATGCATGAAGCTCAGTAGAGCAAGCCTTTGGCATGCTGAAAACACACTGGCGATCTATTTTATTCAAGGCACTTAGAGGTCAGCACTGCCTTTGTGCCTGAGGTTGTTGCATGCTGCACTGTGCTTCACAGTCTCGCTCTTCTCAATGGGGACATTGATGCGCTAGAGGATGAGGAAGACCATGATGATGGCCTCCTGAACCCCACAACCTTTAAGCAAGAGTAGGGGGTCAATCTGCCGCTATGTTTACAACAAACATTCGTGTGCCTGCTCTCCATGACTACCTGTAAAACATTTAAACAGGTTAAAACGTTGTCTGCATTACATTTCATGTTTACAATTACATGCAAATTTTTGCTATAGCTTTATTACTTGTGTGGTGTTGTGGGCTAAACCACTGAATTTGGAAGCAAAGGTAGCTGGTTTGATCTCCGCCACCGCCAGGTTGCTCCAGGGGGATTGTATTCAATTCAACGTGCAATGCATATTCGGACTTTTTTCCTGCTATATAGTAGGGAAGTATGTGGTTGTGAGCCAATGTGAACAAAAATGTATAAATGGCTCCTATTGAACAGACTTAAAACAAAAAATGATCAGTATTAAAAGTTTTTTTTTTACTATTGTGTTTCAGAGATTGTGGGTATTATTTATGTTCTGCTGTATTGCTGTGTGTTTTGTCATTGTGTTTATCCTCTGGCTGTACAAATAATTGCCCCTTGGGGACAATAAAGTTACCTTGACCTTGAAATGAGCCAGTCAAAGTTATTAAATTAATATTGAAAATAAAATGAATCTCATACTTGTGGTTTTTTTTTTTTTTTGATTTTGGAGGGGTTGATAATCATATCGTATATTCTCCTCTTCTTTTTCAGTATGGTATAGCGGTCACTAAGTACGATAGGCATGGTTTCCGTGCACGTGTGCGGCAGCTGCTGTTGACTGCTTCATCTGCTGTGCTGGTCCAGGAAGCAAAAATCAAACAACGTATCGAATACGGCACATTGCTGGGTAATGTTACTGTAATACAGCTCTCTCTATTGTTGCCTAACAATACTGTATGACAACTAGACTTATTAAAGTTGCATACTCCTGTTTTTCACCGTATCTAATTCTTGGGTAATCATACTCTTCCGTAGTACTCAACCCATAAATTCTCATCAGTGTCAAACTACCAGCACACCATTAACCTCACACTGGGTAACACTTTGCAGTACTATACAATATTACTTTGTATTATTTTGTAGGTATCTCTGTCAGTTCCCTCAGTGACGGATTCTTTGTTTTGCATATTCCCACCACTGACAGTAAGCAGAAGGTGAGAGAAGTCCTATCATGCTCTGTGATTGTCTTGGCTGTGCAGTTGGAGCTCTGTTGTGTCATTTTGACTTTTGGCCTTCTGTCCTCCAGGGTGACTTGGTGCTGCAATGCGGTCATGTGATTGAGACAGTCACCAAGCTGGCCATCATGGCAGACAAGATACACAATGTCAACATCAGCCAGGACAGGTGTGTTTGTGTGTGTGTGTGTGTGTGTGTGTGTGTGTGTCCCCGTCTGTACATTGGGGTGTCTGAATGCTCTAGAGGGACAAGGGCACAATCCCACAGGGGCACACAGCTTACTTCACTGTCAATGTGGAATGTACTTGATTTGTTAAAAGCTGCATTAATCTGTGGGCAAGAATCTGATTCAAAAAGCCTTGAGCTGATGATTTTTTTGAACTATCGTTCAAATTTTTTTTTCTATAAAATTTTACTTTTTTGAAAGAAATTAATGCATTTTTCAGCAAAGTGACAGTTAAGTATTTATAATGTTACAAAACATTTTTAATAAATGCTGTTATTTTGGATTTCTATTTGTCAAAGAATTCTGAAAAAAAAATTATTTCATGGTTTCTACAAAAAATATTAAGCAGATTTCAATATTGGTAATAATTATAATAACAATAAATGTTTCTTGAGCAGCAAATCAGCATATTAGAATTATTTCTGAAGGATAATGTGACACTGAAGAATAGAGTTAGTTAATGATGCTGAAAATTCAGATTTACCATCACAGGATTAAAGATAAAGTAAGTCAGGGCCCTCGAGGTCAACTTTCCTGTGGAGTTTAGCTCCAATCTTGATCAAACTCACCTACCTATAACTTTCTAGTAACTCTGAAGACCTTGATTAGCTTGTTCAGTTGTGTTTGATCAGGGTTGGAGCAACTCCAGGGTTGGAGTTGAGAAGCTCTTCACTGCACTACTATGTCTTTGATAAAATAAATGCAACTTTGGTGAGCTTAAAAGACTTCTTACGAAAACATTTACAGAACTAAATCTTTTGAATAGTAGTTTTTTAAACATCTTTGTTTTCGTCATTGTTGTTGTACTTGCTTTAAACTAAACTTAAATGCAACATGTATATGCATATTTACACTTTTCCAACTGTGTATGCTTTACTCTCCAGTATCAGGTTTGCCATTGCAAAGGGAAAGGAGGGAGTTGTAGACTTCACTAGTGGATCAGACCTGCTAGTGGTCAAGACCAAGAATGGACACCTGTCTGTGGTGAGACACACACACACACACACACACACACACACACACACACACACACACACACACATACATATACACACACACACACACACACACACACACACACACACACACACACACACACACACACACACACACAGAGAGAGAGAGAGAGACTTATGATTAGGAAATACAAGGCTAAATAATAAAATTGTTTTAGTTTGAAGGGTATAGAGACAACAAAGTTTATTAGAGTTTGTTTTAAAAAGAATAAAGGAAAAAAGAAAGGTAATCGTATTTCAGTTCGAGAATTCAGAGAGGTGAACATGTCTTATTTAACAAAGTTTTAGTTGTTTGTTTTCAATAACTGCTTTTTCTTTTTTTAGACCACCCCACGAATCTCATGAACAGCCAATGACAGGTGACCAGCAGTGAGCAGATCATTCACAGCAGTGCTTTAGCCAATCACTACACAGAGCCAGACTACAGTTTTTTTTTAATTAATTTTAGTCTCACTCCAAAAGCACATATTAGCAAGTGTATATTAAATCGCATTTTTAATCACTTTTTTGACTACTGATTTTAGATTACATTTAATTACGATTTCTGTGGGTTAATTGATGACTTAATTGTATAATTTCTCTCATCTAATCAATCACATGAATCTATTTCAATTTTGTCAGTAATTCAAGCTTAACTAAAAAGATATACTACAGATACGTATATACGTAGATATGTATATAAGACATATACTAGACCTTTTGAGAATTTCTCATTATCTACATAATCTTTTCAAATGTAATAAAAGTAATTTACAAATAACACTACTACCTATCAGCGGAGACATTATATAACTCAATTATTGTTAAATCATTTAAAAAAATAATCAATGCTCTATAATCTTTTCTTACACTTCAGACAGATGCCAAAAAAAAAACAATGGCTTTTTCAGCCAGTGTCAGAACAAGCCTTACTTTAGGTTGCACCAAGTGTTCAGTATGACTTTACATACCATCCGTTGTATGGAAAAAAAAAGTTGCATAAATACACATTCAGTAGAAATGCTTCACAGTCATTTTATTCAGTAATTCAGTACACATGTTTCACTTCTGCACTTATTTATGAATAATAAATATTGATTGAAAAAGGTTTTACACACATTTCACATAAATAAAATAAATAACTTAATAAATAAGACAAGGTGGAAAGTACAGGGGAATGAAAAAGAAAAGCGGATGTAAAGTTAATATCGTTCTGACCTTTGTATTGCCGATTATCAGTGAAGGAGGGAAGTGGGGTGTTTGGGGAATTTTGAATTTCTACAATTGCTGACTATGCTGTTTTGTTTCAGTTTAATATAAACCAAACATGTACTGTTTTTTTTCTTGTTTAAATGATGCTGGCATTGTGTTAATACAAATAACACAACCATTGTATAATCTAAAAATACTTGCTTGTCAAATAATACTGCTTAGGTAATCTCATGATGACCTATACTAGCTGCCTGTTCATGTATTTACTCCCCTGACCTATCCCATACAATACTCATTAAATATAAAATACTGAAATTTAGATTCAAAAAAATAAATTTTCACACATTAAGACAAGTATCTGTCTAGTCTTTTGTAAAAAAAACGGTAAATAATAAAATATTCTCATAAAAAAAGTTAATGAGCAAGGTAAACAGCAACTATGACATGAAGTTCTTTAGTGATATGAATGTTAGTGTATTCAATTATGCAATTCCTTGGTTCTGTTTTATAATTTAATTCCGTGTTGCTCCAATACTTGGTATTTGTTTTCAAAGGTTTTCTTTGATGTGTTTTTCAATATTTGGCTTGGAGCACAGTGTAATCTCGTGCCAATCTGCTCAAGTACCGTTCTAGATCTCTCAGTATCATGTACCCTCTCATATGTTGAATCCAAAGTGACTCCCGTGCTGTTGTGGTCTGCTGGGTCGACGCAAGTGTCGATGCCCGGGTGGTGGTTTGCAGGAGGCTAACAGTGGTCTTCTTCATTGCTGAAGTCAATCTCCTGTCGGCAGAGTTAAAGGTCTCAGATGATTGTACGGTGAAGTGTGCGGAGCTCCTAGGGTTAACAGTGGGTCTTGGGCTCTGGGGCTTTCTGGTGTTGTCTGTGGAATGATGCATGCTGGGAAATGGACTGGACAATGAAGTGGAGTGTAGGGGATGGAGAAGTGGAGATTCTGTGGATGCAGACAACTGTGTGATGCTCTTCAACTGCAGATAGAGAGAGAGAGAGAGAGAGAGAGAGAAAACAAGAGTCTTAAAATATCAGCCTGTTGTTTTGTCCCAAAAGGTCAGATTTCTTTGGTAACACTATAATAACTCAGTTTTGGCAAACAGTATAACCTTATAAATATTTAACAGATCATTAATGTTAGTAATATTTTTTTTTCATATCTGACCCTGGATTTAGAATATTGCAATATTATGTAATATTCTAATGTAATATATTATTATTTAGAAGTCTCAAAGTAACCTTGAATCGAGATTTGGACTGTAGAAGGTCAACCAGTTAGAAAATGATTACACGGAGATCACGAGGCAGACCAGACAAATATGACTAAAACAGACGTTGTTGTTACTATTCTTAGATTCAAATATATCACAGATATTTTCTATATACCCTATAGAAATCCCCTTGGGATTTTCATAAATATTCTGGTAAGAGCCCCTATGTTTGGCAACTTTAACGGGGGCATGACGAGTTAATCATCAGAGTTGTGAAATGATGTGTCTGGCTGGGACGTTGTTGCGTTATATCTAACTAGTCTGCACTTGTACCTGTGAGTTGACTTGTCTCATTAGATCCCTCAGATCTATTTGCAGACCGACAAAACTTTGGCACAAGGTGGGCTGTGGCCTTCCTCGTTTGTCTCTTCGCTGCTCTCTTTTTTCTCTCGTCGCATCTCTTTCTCTCTCAAGCTGCTGCCGTTGACTTTCCAGGTGAGTCCAGAAAATTTGGAGGTAGTGAGAGGCCAAACGCAAACGCTCAGTGTCCTGAAACAAACAGAACTTTTAAAACATATACTCATGCAGTAAACCAATTTAAATACTACATGATAAAGATATGCGTGCACACCTGCATGTGTAGCCAGGTCTGATAACTGAGAGTCGCAGTGGGTAGTGTACTCAGCTTCATTAGGCCTAGGTCTCCGTACACAAAAAGCTCGCCTCTAAACACCTGTTGTTTCTGTCAAGAAACGTGTGGAACTTTAGATACAAACTGAATAATAATAGCAATAAAATTAAATAATAAAACAGTACACATCGGAATGTCGGCGTTAATTTGATTTGGTCAGGCTACTATATACAAGATATGCATTAGTTCTCTTACGTATCGGGACAGCAGCTGTTGGACTCTGGCGCGGATTGTGCGCGTGAGGCGCAGTGAATTGGAGAAGGACAGCGCTCCTCTGTGGCCGAGAGGGGAAGCGGTATTTGTAGACACCATACAAATGATGATGCAAAAAAGAGTCTGACATCGCCGAAACATCTGGGAGAATTGAGAGTGAAATTGTCAGATCATTCAAAGTAGCCTAGTGATACATTGTATATTAGATACAAGGTGGTATCAGATATTAGATATTAGGCTATCACAGTTTGGGCTATTTTGCCAGCTTTTTTTCGAGATCTAGGCTTTCTGAGGCTAGTGATCATATTTCACATAAGAAAACCTCAGTACTACCCTTCTGTCCTGCATAAATAAATGTATACAATACCTAAAGTTAAGGTAGCCTATACCTTGAATTACATGGGCTAATTAGACCATACACTTAAGCCTATTACATATCAATAAACACACAAAAATATTTTCAGTCTATATGTCATGTTGGTGTCAAACGTATTTACTACCATTTGCCTATCCAATACGGTCTATTGATGATTAACCAGGATCGTGATCAATATCAACTGCATTAAAACATCTCATTTAAATGAAAAACAATTTACTTTAATTGCTTTAAAAGTTAAAATAAATCGCCTGATGTTTAGTTTCTGTTAATTAGTTTTTTTGGTAGCCTAGTAAGGGAGTTAAAATGATATTGGCTCTTACCTCCGTTTAAATATTTGAATATCAGACCTTGATTGTTCAGTCGTCGTCAGTGATTTGAGATGATGATGCACCAGAGATTGCATCTTATATTCTCTGTAAATATCGTTTCGGTTTCATTCGTTCGGTCTTTTTTTTTTTTGTTCTTTTTTTGGGAATGCCAGTGTTTGTTCCTCTTTTTAAGCTACGTATTAGAACATTTCCTGAAAGTACAGTACAGTCTTGAAGATGGTACAATATTTGAATGTGTATTGCCTTGAAAGCTCATAGGCAGTGTGTCTGTCTATATATATATATATACACATAAAATGCAAAAGTGTTCTGTTGGTGTGTGGGTATGGGTTAGTCTTTAAGAGTTTGCAGTTAGCTGTATTAAAACAATAGAAGTCTATGTTATATAATTTTTAGGTTAAGCAGTGTGTGTGGGGGTGGGGTGTGAGTGTGATATCTTAGTCAAAGTTTGTGTGAAAGACAATCTGTTAGTTCAGATGATATCACTTTTGGCATTTAGTAACATTAACATAATCCAATCAAATCATAATCAAGGTGTGAAATTGTACTGGGGCGGTACCTTTCCAAAAGGTACACTTTTGTACCTAAAGGGTGCATATTGGTACCTTCATGGTACATATTTGTACAGTTATGGTACCAATATGCACCCTTTAGGGACAAAAGTGTACTTTTTTGAAAAGGTACCGCCCCAGTGACAGCTTTCGTACCTTTTTTTCTGACAGTGCTGTAACTCATTTCTTATTGGTTAAACGGATGGTGTTGCATTGACAGTTAAATTGACTAAACAAATATTAAACTAATATAGAGACATTGTAAAAAAATGGATCTTTATGAATTATTTGTTTTCACATTGAATTCATATTTAAAAAATGCTTGCATCTGTAATTACATCTATAATTGCACTGTTGACTCTTGTACACCTTAACCACCTATAAACCCAACCACACCACTATGACCCTGACTCGAATCCCACCTCAGTAGCAACAGTGATTTTTCAAAACACACCATAAGTGGCCTACAGTTTTTTTATTTTATTTATGCAAGTACATAGTAAAGACACCAATAAAGTGTGACTCTAAATTATGTTGTAAAATGCAATTGATAGAATATAAGTTAATAATATATACAAAAAATTTTTTTCAAAGCATTTAAAAAAGATGTTTAAAGATGTTGAATATTAATTTACTATATATTCAAAACAAATTACACTGATACGCTCTCAAAACAGACTTGTATCTCACATCAGGGAACATGTAGCAGAGAATGGATGGAGCATAAATGTGTGAGGTGTTGTTACATAAAATTATATTTTACAATTCATGGAAAGTCACACGGCAATCCCTGTGGGGAAGACCCTCCCATGCTAGTCTCTGTCTCTTTCTGAGGTTGCTCAACTGCTGTTTTCTACACGAGATGACATTTCTGTTTTGCCCCATGACCAGCTGGGCCGTATACATTCACGAAAAGTACCTTCTTAAGGAGACCACAATATCTGTAAATTTGAAACATCTTCACTAAAAAACCCACCCAAAGATCATGGTTTCACATGCATTATATCACCTTTACATATCTGCAGTATGAGTATAGCACATCTTTTTTCTCCCATTTTTTTCTCTTCTTTTTTGTCTTTTATAATTATAGCACTTTAGAACTGATTTATCTGATTTTGTAATTTGTCTGTAATTAACATATTCTGCACAAGTAAAATCCCTATGTTCCCTATATATGCTATAAAAATGAATGAAATCATTAGATTGTGGAAGAAACTTACTTTTCAGAGTGTTTTTTTTTTTTTTTTTTTTTTTTTGAACATTCTTCAAAACATTTTTTGACCTGCATGCAAAACGGAAAACCGTAAATAAACAGGTCAGTCTTAGCATGCATCACATTTGGTTTTGAGGAACAACTGAATTTAACTTTTTAATATAAAAAACAGCAGTTTTAAAAGAAAATCTTCTGGGCTGTCCTTGTACATCCCCTTTGTTTATTAAATTTACTTTCTTTCAGTCTTTCTAAGCTGGGATATCCTAATACTACAAAATATTTTTTTTCATTCTCTCTCTTTTTTGAGGGAATATCCATTCTAACGACACACAGCCATTTCATTTTTTTCATTTGCTGTGAAGACATGGAGTGTAAGACATGCATCATGGTGTCACTGGATGTTTAGGTAATCACATGACCACATGGTCGTTTAACAGAAGATGCCACATATTCTGACCACTGCTGTTATGTAAGGTGACATATATAGATTACATTGGGTGTGTGAGTAGAAATGCTGAGGTTTATTTGGTGATGTGAATCCGCAGTTGCACCACATGAGCGTATCACTTCATGTTTTTCTTCATTAGCATTAGTTTTGGGTTGAGCAACACTTCCTTTCTCCAGTGCTCTCTCTCTCTCTCTTTCTCCATCACTCTTCTCTCTCTCATTCTTCACTCTACTCTCTCAAGTGATGTTAATTGCCCGAGACAAAGACTGGAAGGTACATACAGTACAGTACATACAGATAATTATTACGTTAACTACTTGATTTAAAATACATTTTCATATTTTGTTTTTTATTATATAGTCAGCAAAAAAATAAATACTTTACAATAAGGTTTCATTAGTTAACTAAATTTCCTAACATGAACAACAATGAAAAAAAAAATTAACAATACTTCTACAGTATGTATTATTCTTGATAATGTTAATCTAAACGTTTACTACAACCGTAAGGCCCGATTACACAAACAGGGCTTAGATTAAGCCAGGATTAGGCCTTAGTTCAATTAGGGCATTTCAGTAGCGTTTAAAATAGCTTTTATAAATCTGCCTTATAGAACAAAACATTACTGTTGTGCTTCTTGAGACAAAACAATGGCACTGACATTATTTAAGATATGTCAGTGCAAGTTGCTTTCAGTTAAAACAGCTCAAACATGCAAAGCTTAAGCCTTGTCTGAGAAACTGGGGGTATTAAAATCAAAACTTGTATCTGTTAACATTGGTTGATGCATTGTAAACTATAACATGATTAGAAATGTTTTAAACTCACAACAAAGGTCACTAACAAAGAACATGAAAAAATATTGCTTCTTGCTTGTTTATGTTTTAATAGTTTCAGACTTTTGAAAGCCAATGTGTAGTTGTGCCACTGGTACTTTTCTCAGTTTGGCCTTATGCCTCCTCTAGTCTAATAATAATAATAATAATAATAATTCATTACTTTATATATAGCGCTTTTCTCGGCACTTAAAGCACTTTACATAGAAGGGGGAATCTCCTCAACCACCAGCATCCACCTGGATGTTGTGACGCGCGACGGCAGCCATGCGCCAGAACGCCCACCACACACCGGCTTACTGGTGGAGAGAAGACGATTGATGAAGCCAATTGCTATATATACATACAGAACTGTGCAGAAGTCTTAGGCACACTAGTATTTTCGCCTCAAAGAAATGGTTTTAACCCAGTTATTTATATATTTTGCTGTAGTGTCTCAGTAGGAAATATCAGTTTACATTTCTAGGCATTAATTGTAATAATCCAGTGAAATTTTTGAATGCACAAGGATTCTGACAACAGCCAATGCTCCACACGGAGGTCGGATCTCACCATCATCGAGTGGAAAAAACAGATACTAAAGACCAGAAGAACTGTGGCAACGTTTCCAAAGACGCTTGAAAAAACCTGCAAAACTAAAAACTATGTGCAATAGTAAAGCTGGTTTAAATGTAAAGGGTACTAAACACCTATTGATTTGATTTAGTTAACTGTTAAAAGTTAATAACAGTTTATAATAGTTAACTAATAAAATGAATTGATAAATAAAATCTATTTATGATAATGACATTATTTTTGAAAACATTCTCATTTACAGCATTTTTACACAAGTGCTTTTTTACAGTACTGTAGCTTTGCAGGCAGGCAGGCACTACCTTCGAGACGTTGCCGCAGTTTTAGTGTGCCTAAGACTTCTGCACAGTACTGTATATATATATATATACCGCCTCCACCCTATATATATATATATATATATATATATATATTTATATATATATATATATATATATGGGGATGATTAGGAGGCCATTCTGTACAGAGGCCAAAGGGCAAATTTTGGCCAGGGAAATTTTGGGATTTTTGTGACCACAGAGAGTCAGGACCTCGGTCTAACGTCTCATCCGAAGGACGGAAAACACTATGTTTCTTCCTGGTAATCCCTTGAATGATCTTCTGTGGAGGGGCCAAGAACAGAGAAGTAGCCTATAGGGGCAGAAACCACAAGGGTGGAGGCGGTGCAAAGCGGTGATGTTCATTTTGTCATTTCTTGTGATGACTCGTGGGAAGGGGTAGTTCTCAACTTACAGACACCCACGCAGATTTCAATGGGGGTCACGATGTTTACGAGCACTTATGACTCAAATGACTGTTCATGCATGAATGTCATTCAGAACATATACATGTTATACTCTCACATGTACTATTTTAAGTGGATTTCATGCAGGTGAAGCTATACTTTTGCATTGCATGTTACAATATAAACAACATGAGACATAAACACGCTTTTGATTTCAACTTCCCTCCTGATATGTTTCCGGTAGTTCTTCCTCATTTTTTTTTCCAGTAGTGTCTCTGTCTTGCTGTCATTTTCAGTCCTGACTCATTCAATACTGTATATTAGTTTTCCTTATGACACATCAGTTTTATTACATTTCTCAACTAAAACTTGTGGTCTCACTTTTCTCTCTTTCTCTTTCTCTCTCAATTTTCACCCCCTTTTTTCTGACTCAAATTCTCTTTCCCCTATCTTCATTTCTCTGGATGTTTTAAAATGCATTTTTGCCAAATTGGGTTGTCAGGACATTCGATCCAGTGCTGCAATAACCAAATCCTTAACCAAGTGACAGTATGACATTATGATTTTTTTTTTTTTTTTTCAAGGCACAAATGAGTTTAATGGCCATCAAATGAGATCAGTCAGTATATATTCTGGTTCCTGGTATCTTCCTTTGTCTGGAATCACAATGTCTGGTATTCTCCTTGTCTCTGAAAGTAAACTTTAAAAAGACACTCAAAATTCAGGGATTGTATTAAATACAGTCAG